TTTTTAAATCATGCCTGTAAAAATGGCGTGTACCTGCACATGCAGAAATATACTATTATTATTATCCGTGGTGGCTCGCAAAAAAAAGCAGAACTAACAACAAAACGTGGCTGATAAAACTCATTATTTTGCAATGAAAGAGGCTAAGCTAAGCCTATTATCAGGCAGAACGGAAACTAATCAATGGAGGAACTTCAAAATAAATCATAAATACTAAACACTGTGTGTGAAGAATTGTAACAGGGAAACAGACTTCAGACAATGAAAGGTTGAGGAGCAAAGTGGGATTGATGTCCATTGACTTTGAAAAAAATGAACAGCAGCGCGAATTGTTTAGCCTCCAATATTACTTTATAACAAGAGCTTTTGTTTATTTATTATTCCTTTTTATCGTTTTTATCGAATACCAACCATTAAGACTGAGACCAAGCGTTCGAAAACTCATGTGATAGGTCAACTTGGTAAAACAGAGAGACCAATATAAGATCGAAAACATGAGCCCAAGAAGCAGCAAACATGGGAGAACGATTTCAATATTATTGGATGGTTGCCTCATTACCAACCATAGTATTTGGAGATGCAAAAAGGTAATCCTCTGTAGATACTAACCCCAATGCTGGGGTTAGTCGGGTGATCACGCCATTCTCGTCTAACTAGCGTGGACCACCAATCATCCATCAAAGATCAACTCAGTTGGAGATTAGCCTAAAGAGATTAGTCTTCAAATGCTATCAAAAGTAAATGCTGTTCAAATGGAAGCTTCTGTATTTGTTAAATGTAGATCTTGTACCAGAGATGTCGCGGTAGCTTGAGATAGCTGAAAAAACTTCTAGGAATGGAAGTGCTTGTGAATACATTGTTTCTGGAGTTCGCAAAACATTCAGTTCGGTGCCACGAAAATTCCTATTAGCTAAGATGTAGGGAGTGTGATTTACAGATCCTTTTATTTCCTTGCTAAAAGGTTTCACAAGACAAAAGGTTCTACTCCAAAATGAATACAGTGCAATTAAACTGGAGATCGTCAGTTGTGCATCATGAAGATACATGTAATCCATATGGTTTCTCATATTTATCAATGACTTCTCAAATAATCTAGCCTCATAATTCCAATCCTGTACAAATGACATTAAACTATGGAGAGCTACCAGACGTGAAGATGAACGACGTGAGCTTCAAGGAGAATAAATGCCTTTACAAGGGTGGACGTGAAATGACAATATATCATCACTATACTTTCTTGCCTTGTGCTAATGTTTCTTAAGTCCGACTTCTTAGTGTTTGTGACTTCCAAAATAAATACGTTCGGAACGGTCAGTGTCTAGGTTTATGCAGTCATACAGTTAGTAAGCCAATAACTGCTCAATCAGTATTCAAAGGAAGGGCAACAAGCAAATGTTATCCTGTCCCTTCTGTACAGGTCACGTACAGATTGTCCCTAATGGTAATATATAATTCACTATAGCATATAGTGTCTCCGATTCTGGAAGTGTGTTTTATTTCATAGTCCGAAACGTACAATTCCAGTCAATGCAAGCAATATAATCATGAAAGGGAGCTAATTAATATGTCACCGGCCATGACTAAATATCAACCTAGACAATATAGATGCAATTCAAGAAAAACATGGAGATTCACTGAATAGGTGAGGAAAACAAAAGCCGAAGTAAAATACAAATAGTACCAACTCAAAAGAAATTAAGACATCAACAAAATGTACATCTGGAGGACGAAGAGGAATAAATCAATACAGTGTGTATGTAGAAGGATTTTCATACACAAAACTTTCAAATACGATCTTAAAGTGTTGAGCATGCTCTTTTTTCTCTTGCACTAACCGATGTTTCAATGTTAATCGTGGCGTTAAAAATAAAAAGGTACTTTTAGTTACCGATTATCTAGTGGTTCGAATTGATTTGACTCTGCTCAGCAATGATAAACAACAAGGACTGATGAAGATTTGAAGGCAAGGATCGGCGTAGCAAGCAAGAATATCTGGAACTAAAAACAAGTCGATCAACATCAAACTCAGAATCTTCCAAATAGTCCTAACGTACAAAGCTGAAACTTGGAGAACTACTAAAACCATCCTCAAAAAGTACTGGTATTTATAAACAAATGTCTGTGCAAGATGCTCAGCAGTAGCTTACTGTGGGAGAGAGCAAACAGGCTTTGAACTGAACGATAAATTAGAAAAAGGCACTGGACGTAGATATGAAATTCTTCGCGGAAATAATCAAAAGGCATCACAAGAAAAGCTCTAACTGAATAAAGGGCAGATATTATGAGAACGAATGGCAACTGGAAAGAATTACCAGAAGAGTTCGATAAAGAATACTGTCCGGCGGCGCATTTTCCTCCATGAGGGGTAAAAAGTAAATGACCAGAACTACACTTTAGGGATGGGTGGTTTTGTTAGAGCTCAATGACCTTACTTGCCCTTCAAACTACTCCGATACGAAGTTATCCATCTCTTAACAGATGGGTATGATAAAAGGTTTGGTTTAGACTATGGTTCTGAAGGAATCTGAGATTAAGTCACCAAAGTAATCATTCGAAATCCAGTTACAGAGCATACACTGTTGTGTGCATAACTACAAATGAAGTGAAACAACTTATTACGAAGATTGGTAATTAGGCGCCTTCTCACCATTGACATATTTAAAAAGGAACAAATCACAATATATAGATTCATTGCAGTCCTCTCGTTCATCATCTTTATTCTGCATTTACTGGTGCTAAATGTACGTATCAGTACTAACTGACCAAACTTTTGTACTTGGATGAAGCGCGCTTTCTGAGTTGCCGTTCTCATGATATTGTATCGGTCAACAGACAACACAAATAATTGTATACACGCTTCGTCTGATTGGGGCAATTAACACTAATCGTCTATCTGGATAATTCTTATGCCTTTTCTCTGCTATGCCCGCCTAACTGAAAACCACAGTTGTGGTCCTCGAATTCTGGAGATTTTATTCGGATTTGAGAATTGAATATGTTGCCAGCGTATGTATAAAAACAAATAGATCCCAATATTGCAGAACCACATAACAGGAAAAAATCTGTTTTCTTTCTCTCACGATGTAAAGTACTTTGTAAGAAAACAGAAACCCAGGTTCCCCACTTAAGCTATGGTATGTGTAAAACTGCGGCCCCCTTATATGCCCGCCTATTACTAATCACAACCGTATTATGTCAAGCTGTACCCACCTAATTCTACCTGCCTTGAATAGCATCACTTCGGAAATTCTTAGCCAGCGCATAAATTTGAATACTTACAACTATAATAATATCCGAATCCAACTGTTTTATTTATTCAAATCTACTTGAGAAGTCTTAATACTTGAAGGGGTGCTACGTCTCATTTTAAAGATTATCGCCAATAAACATACGTAGCCCAAAGATAGGATGTTATCGTTCATCAATGGAGACTACCAACTAGCCTAATGGCTCAAACATTATAATCTTCACACAAACCGCTCATTTAGTTCAATATCCACCAGTCCCAATATCAAGTCAAGAGGTTTATATCTCTCATGAAACCAGTAGTGTGCCGCGCCCCAACATGCCAGATGACGTTGAAGCTTAATATGAAATCCCGAATGGAGACATTACTCGCATCTGCAGAACTTATCGACCTTTGAAGGAAAGATGCCTAACCGTACTCGTATCCCAGTTTATGATTGACTGCCTCACATCTAATAATTCTACTTAGGAATCAAGACTTAGTGAAGTGGGTCTTGGTGATGTCTTAACGTTGTGTCGATTCGGTGCGATTAATCAATTAACTAAGCCATGAGACTGTAGTATCATTATTCATGAATGAACTATGTGTTTAAGAGAGGACCTCAGAAAATTGATACATCCTAATTATTATAAGCCTCCGTGGACTGATTGTCTTTCGGTATAGGAAGTCGTATTCACTCACGACAAAGTCACTGTTAGTGACGTTTTGGGAAAAGTTAATTTTATTTTTAAGGAAAGAATCTGTACTTTCCTGAAACGAGAGGTTAGATGCACAAACTTTGGTTGGCTTAACCTACTGAAAGTCACATATTTAGAATCATAGATAAGAAAGACTAAATCCAGCAAGTGTATTTTTACTAAGGTAAAATATCCTACTCCTTAGATGATTATACTCTCCAGAGCTATTATTCATATGCTTTGGAACGACGCTAATTCTATACAAGATAGTCACAAATAAAATCTGGGAGCTGGAAGCTAGTAGACTGTTAATCACTGGTAGAGAGCCTTAGTGATACAATATGAGATTGATGACATAGCAAAAGACAATTTATGAAGATTCCTCCCCTCCTAAATAACACTATTTGGAATGTAATTTAACTGCACTATTGCCTTAGCTAAACTACTGCATAGCATGTAGAAACCAGATCGACCAATAGATATGCAGACTCGAGTGCCGGAAAAACGAAGTCCAGGGGACCGAATAACAGTTATTTTCAGAGAGGAAGACCATGATCAATCTAAAATGAAGTAACTGTATTATCAATCTATATGAAAAGATTGTGTTCAACAAACACCAACTACTAAAATACAAGTACGTCTCTAAACATATGAATCTTTAGTTTTGGTTATTTACATACCACGAAAATTGGGCATAATGTTTCAAAAAAATGACTAGCAGAATCTAATTCAAGTTACATTAGGACAGCGAGTGAGTCAACCACAACATTCTCCTTCTAGTAACGTTTGTTGCATATCCTCTAACATCTGGGTCACTTTATAAGATTGGTGGTGAGAATGATAATAAACAGTAAATCTAAACAAATCTTAGACTGACATGTTCAGTTTGTGTTAGTCGGATAATTTCATCCCATTCAATCTTTTAAATAAGAGAAAGTAAATAGGAAAATAAAACGGAAGAATAGAACAAGAAAAGAAATTACAAAAGTGAGTAAAGTAACGACAATTAGTACGAACACTGTAGTAATCTACAAAATAGAACAATGATCGTCCTCTGAACTATGGAATGTGACTGCCTAGTCATTCTTAAGCGAGAACTTATCGTTTTTGTGTTTGAAATCGATCTCGAAAGCGCAAACGCGAGGAACCCACCCACGAATTCTGACAGAATCTGTAAAGAAGTAAAAGGAAACCGAAAGTAAGAAAACATTCAATTGTTAACCAAACAGAGTTAAGTTTGAAGCAGTAATATTTCTGATCAGAATTCTCCATGTAAATTTTAAAAAAAAGTGATAAGTATTACAATAATAGTTAAACTTTTTCTTTGACCTAGGAGCAACCTAGAAGCATCAAGAAAGATGCCTACTGCCCAATGATAATGTTAACGAGTGCTATATTTGTAGATGACGAAGGAGAATCACTATATTGATTATGTGCTGCTCCATGAACCAAATGAGGGAAAATTACGTGTCAATGTTATTATTATCTAATCTATTACGCAACTAACTGGCAGCATTTCTAAAGAAAGTAGCATATCTACGAATTGAAAACTGTATATTAATGCTAGCAAATTACCTGAAAAATCAGTAGAACAACTTTCAGAAGGGACCAAATGCCCATAAATCCAGTACCTGGTGAATGAAACAATAGAGAATAATAAATACATCCAATAAATGAATTTACAAACAAAATATCTGTTAAATCCATACACAATGGTCAGTATCCAGAACACTATAAAATAAACTTTCCACCTATATGCTTATATTAACAATGCATGTAAAATATCTTCGGTGACACAAAAACTGAAGGAGTTCAATAATAGTAAATTATGATCATAAAGAAATCCAAAACCAAGCAAATACCTTTCAGAGACAAACCGATATATAGGTCAAAAGATACAAATATTACAAAGATATCCCTTGATGAGGTAGCTTCTGACTAGGAATTTCGTTAAATGTACAATAACAGTTCAAGATAGTTCGAATGAGGCAACGAGAGGTAATCGATAGACAAGGCAAACAGCTAAATCAAAATATTGTAATTAGGGTGAAAGCGTTTATAATTACCTAATAATGGGTCGAAATGAAATTTTATTACTATTTAGATTATCTTTGAATGATTTGAACAATCGATCATGAAACAAGTACAATAAGAAAGTTAAAGCTTAACTCTAGTATCAGTGACTTTTTAGGAAAATAAGATGCATATAAAGTACAATAGAAAGGTAAGTGAAATGTACTAATAACTAGACTTGTAAGAATATGTACGTATAATAAGTGAAACACACTGATGACTAGGTGAAGCACACTCAACAAAAACGTGATATACAGAATTTTCGGAAAAAGAGGTTGAAGAAGCACACTTATCATATCAGCAAAGAAAACTACTAATTGGATGTTGGAAACTTATTAACAAAATACATGAAACCATAACAAACGACTTTTAGAGAAAATGTAAAGGCAGTTAAACCAAAGGTCTACCATCTAAGAACGATAGACGTAGCCTTTCAGCTTATAGGAACAAAAATAAACAGATTAAGTTTTGTTATACGTAGCTTAAATGAGGTGTATTAAAACAAAGAAGCACTATGTGAGGTGAGTGAAGCCAAATAGATACATATTAGTTTCTAACAAAACGGTCATTCTATTTAGTAAAAAAAATTTGTGGTACTAGTAAAACCTACTGAACGTAAACGTGATATAAATTGATTTTATCACCTGTCTTAACATCTGCTTTCACTAAATAAGATATCTAGTATTTAAATTAACAACTCACTGGGTAAATAAAATCGCATAATTACGCATGAAAATAAAGTCAGAACTAACTTGGAAGCACGAAAAGTGTTAGAGCAGAAAAACCAACTTCTTAAAAACTTAGGATAACAGAAAGATGAATCATCATACCTCGAAATTCTATTTAGTGTATTTCGTTCTCGTACGGAACTACTTAGCATTATGAATTTACAACCACATAGGGGGTTAAGTCCAACTTTCATGTCTAACTTCAATCAATTCTCATTACCAGTGAATAACCTTGAGTGGTAATTCCTGAAATTATAGTGATGAGCCGTGACCAGGTATAGTTCAACTATGTCGGAGGGCATGAGAAAAAGATCACAAATGGTAATAGATGATGGTCGTGAAATATCGTGAATTGACCAAAGTTAGAAATGCAAACCACTGGATCTCAAATCCAGTGGTCTAGAGGTTCAGCACTCGCTGGGAGGTCTGAAAGTCGTGCATTCGATCTCCGGCGGGGTCGTAGACGCCTACTACAGAAAAGTCTCGTTACAGGACAAAACAGCTGTCTAATGCTTTTCGGTTTACAATGTCTGTCTAGCTAGGATCAGTTCGTATTGTAATCTATGAAATATTCATCACACGGAGTTAAAATATACAAAAAGATTGAAATAAATATAACAAAAATAATGTAAATTTTAAACACTTTGATAATCATATGAAAACCATATAAGAAGATTAAGATTACACTTTCTTGAGTCAATACTAATCAGATGATCTTATGTTTTCAATCTCTCATTCCCATTATCAAAGGACACAAACTGAAGCCTACAGTTTATTATATATTATCTGTTCATAAGTCAACTTGATATAATTACCCTAAGTTCTTCTTTAAACCACGACGATCACACCACACAACAGAAATCCTATATTTAAGAAGAAATAATAATGTGCACTGAATGACGTACTTTGAAAAACGACGACTCAGTTTTTAGCATATATTGGATTACTATTTCGTCATTCAATAAAACAAACCACTGAACAGACTTTATTGAGATAATAAATGAATGCAAACCAGTCTGAAAGTACTAGTTTACAAAAAAAGATATCACATTTAATGCTCTTTTAATGCAATTTTAGTACGACTTTGAGGAACATACGTAATTTCGAAATTAGATTAATCAATCTAAATACATATTACTGGATTATTATTTGTTTATATGTTGAGCCTCTACAGTTAGTTTTTTTTCACTTCAAACAATATCGAATACCTTTCGCTTACTTTGTTCCTCTTGTCACCATAAGAGCATCACCGACACGTACAGATATTCTGGGTTCTTCAAAACATGGGGAACGTATCGCAGTTAGACATCCATAACGAAAACACATACACCGACTCCCATCATAATTTTGGGTAATTTTGAATGTGCGCTGAATTTTTTGCTTCAACCTTTTCTGATAGATCTGTTCCAACTGGCAGAATATAACGAAACTATACAAGTAAAACTAAAGCTGAATGTGACACAAGAGCAATTATGAACCATTATTAGTAAATATTATTTGACAAGAATTAAATATTAAAAAACGTCCACCATTCAAATTGGTAACCTTGGCTAAAGTAGACTTCTATCTACAACGACTAATTACTATTTAAATGAAGTTTCGTACTGAATATCGAAATAGCTTACTTATCGTTTGAAAATTATAAATGCAAAGAATGTAGCAATTTAGCTACCACTGGTTTAATGTATTTAATACTTCAAGTCGATAAAAACATTACAGCATAACTGAATTGAGACAAAAGCTAACTCAAAGAGAAACATACATTTACATTGTAGTAGTAATTATTGGAAAAACTTAACATTTTGGAGTAAATATTGTATAATACGCTTTTTTTTTGCATATTAAGTTTAGTTAAGCAATGCAACGACATTTTGCGCAGTCAAAACTAACACGAAATTGAGTAGAGAAAAATGCTGTTAGCCTGTTTTTGACAAGTTGTGTCAGCTACTTCGCTGACAACTTTTAGGAGCATTTATTTCTATAATATATGCAAACCATTTACATTCTTGTCCTTTACCATTACACCGAGCTAATCAGACACAGCTAGCTAAAACAAACAATATAACAGAAGTATGCATTGCATTAATGGAAGTGATAAAGTACGAACTAAGTATAAGGGAAGAATAGACTATCTGACATTCACATTGATGTTATTTAGGCCTTTTGTGTACTCATATATACACACAGATTGTACGTAATATACATCGCCAATTAAGCCTCAGGACTGGTTCGACCAAACGTTATGACGATTTGCTGATTACCGATTCGAATTACAGACCATAAATAGTTTGAATTACTTTTTTGGTTAGCGTTTTTTTAACGCATTAGTTTTCTACGTAATGGAGTCGTTAACCTCATGCCCAATACTCCCCCTTTATCCGGGCTTGGGATCGACAGTAGCCCCAGAGGGGCTCCAGGCGGACCATATATTCTCTTCATCTTTGTGTCTTTATAGTGCTATCATATTGTATTTATTTTAATGACTTAGATATGCCAAATGTGAGCTTTTAAACGAAGAAATAAAGAATTAAATTTCTGGAAACTGCACTTATCATTTAACTATATATGTATAGTCAAATATACATTGATCAACCTGATTTATAGATAAGTCTCAATAGTATAATTACATGGATAAGTAAATTGTGTCTTAGAGATATTGGAAAGCAGAAGATAACCTAATCACAATAAGGTAAAATTTTATGTGAAATATCGATGAGGAAATGCCAACAATCAGTTATAATTTACAAGACATGATACGAAATTATCTGAAACTAGCTTTTATTACAGACTGATATAAGATACGGAACTAGGGGATACTGAATAGTCGTCTCGATATAGTTTGAGATTTTTCAAAGGTGCGAACTCACGACTCCATAAGAAATGGAATTTTGGACCTTCACGCCTAGTTAACAGCGCTGGTATGATCGAATATGAGAGGATATAAGCTTCCATAGGTACAAACTTGCAAGTGATAAGTATATGATCTAATTATACTGAAAACTATCCATTCAAATCAGCAGACAGATCAGATGTGGAACACATGTGAAACAAAACAACGGAATTACATTGTTGCATAATCATTTATTATAATTACCAAATGTATGAATCAAGATGATTAGGATGTGGAGGTATAACAAAAACAAAACTTACTGTCAAATCATACTGAGTGCAGCCTTTCACAACAGGCCAGTAGTATCCATCTCCTAAGACTTTACCAGACCACAAAAAAATCTGTTGGGATAAAAATTTGAATCATAATAGTAACATGCTCAAAATAAAAAAATGGCCAAGAAGCAGGACAAAGTAGAATGTAAATCTGGATTGTATTTAGCAATAAAGTCCAGATCTGGTATAAAAAACTACTGTATCAGATGTCTGAAGACGGTTGTAAGTAAAGCATAAATGATATGATCAATTAATAAACGCAAAAAATTCTCATGTCTATTAGTATTTTATTTTTAAAAAATCATCTTTCATTAAATAATTTCATGTCCATTATTTTAGTTTTTGGTAGTTTTATTTTTGGCACTGAACTCTTCATGTAGAACAAAAAAGGACGAATTGACATGAAAATGAGTTAGTTTACTGCTTAAACACCGTACTTTCTACATTTTTGATAACAATTACATTCATTGGTATTAAGAAAGTCATAAACAGATTCAAATAGTTTTTTTCTAATTTAATACAAAGAAAATATCCGTGAACAATTTCAAATTATAAAACGTAAGAAAATATTTCAGGGATTCACTGATTTACATTTCACACATTATTAGTAAAAAAGTAGTGACCTAAAATTAAATAGGGATCACATCATAATCAGTTTATCATGACAGTGAATTTGTGCAACAACGAGATTAAACCTACTTTTCTTCCTAATACATCAAGTATTTGCGAAACAAAATCATATTTGATGAGATGAAGTATGCACATACCAAAAAATGTCTAGCTACGTAATAGAAATTATTCACAGGGAAATTCTCAACCAGAAAAGTTAGGAATTCCTATTTCATCTTCAAGTTAAGTAGAAAAAGGATAATCATACAGCACTAACAATGGATGGATCTAAGTAAAGAGCTTAAATTGAAGGAAACCATCACATTTCGGTTGTATATCCCTTTATTTTCTTTTACAGGATAAATTATAATTATTTTTATCCATTATTCAAGTTACTGTATTCAGATACTTAGATCTGTTTGTACCAACCTTTAATAAAAAGTAGATTAGTCCGGAGAAAATCGATATACATATATACGCTAAGAAACAAATGTTCCTTTAAACTTACACCACAAATAAATTGATAAGAAAATGAAAATGGTTATTAGTAAACACATCTTTGAAATTTAAGTTGCCTGTAAGTGATGTTGGCATGATACAAGTCTAGTAGGAAAATTAAATTCAGGTGCACTAAATTACAGTAACATGATAAATCCCTTCACCTCATTATATTTAAATCCTTTATTGGAACTTGGTACTAGTGAATAAAATAATCTGCAAAAATGAAAAGTTTTAAATCAATTTTGGAATATGTACCAACCTGCTGAAAATTTACGAGCTTTCCAAGGTCATATGGATAGCGAAACGGTTTTTTTTCCCCTATATCCTTTCGCCAAACGTTTGCCTTCAAAAATAATAAGACTAAATAGATTAAGATAGTCACAGTGATGAAACTTCACATATAGATAAGCTACTGATATGTGTAAAAGTAATTCAATCTCTCTTTTGGTATTGTGAATAGTACATTTAAATGCTACAATAAGCAGAAATAAGATTAACGTTTGAAAGATATACATTTCGAAATAAGAAGTGTAAATGACTAACATCGACTTTAAAATTATTCTAATTGTCTTTACTTCAACCACATTTAACCATTCAGTTTCCCAAAGTAAGAGTCGAAATAGTATTCAGATTAACTACACTACTGCCTAATGTGAAACACCAAAGTAGTATATTGATAAAGCCATGACTCAGGTGTTTTGTACATTTGTATGCCTGACTAATACTCAGGAGTCATATGATTCATATTCACTTTAGATACTACAATCCATAGCTTAGTTGAACTTCAGAAACACGTATCAGTAGCTGAATCAGATCACAGACGACCACAAACTTAACATGTAGGGTCTTTCTGAGAACCCTTAAGCTAAGCAAACTACACCCTTTGCAGCTTTGATAGGACCGAAAAACCGGTTTGAAGAGCTTATAAAAGTCATAAAAAGAGATCTAAGAAATGAGAATACGGATTGTGGTAAAGGACATTAACTAGGATGCTGTTAGGCATGCACATGCAATCTACACTAATACTTGTGTAGCTCACATTATTTCTTTACACGGAACATGAATAAAGAGGCTGAATTCATGCTGATAACATCGTCGATTGACGGACGAAATTTATTTTATTTATTTATTTTAACACATAGATATTGGTACAAGAAAGCACCAAATACATATGCGCCACACAAATCTTATTCGATATGTGCGAGGGCTGTGATACTGCCCGGGTGCCCGAACCGAAGCAGGTGGTTTTCTTAGGGGGCCACTCCCCGAGCCTTTGACCTAGAGGTCTGACCCACAAGACAGTAGAGCATCGTCAGGAGATGCAGTCCCATGGTAGCCGGTGACCAACGATTGGTTCATACGCCATTTGTTCCCGCAGGATACTGGAGCCCATGTGCACCATCAGTTTGGGAACCGGTTAACGCGCCGGACGGACGAAACTGCAGAGTCAAAGAGGAAAATAGTTGGGATCGATCGCTAATTTTTGCTGCTCAGATTTTATTAGCTTCATTCTTTCTTAACCCAGTAAAATAAACCAGAAATCCATGGAGAAAATAGGGTATTGGCTCTAAGGTCAACCGCCTTTTAATTATTTATCTGGCAGGGGACAATATCGCTGGAAACGTTGTTTGAGGGTACATTAATTCCTAGTTTTATTTAATCACTTGATTCCTACTTCCCGTACAGTATTCCCTATTTTAACCTTGGTATCACTGATACTATGATTATTCCAACTCCACTAATCATCTTGTCAATTTTATCTTGCTGTGCTGATGTGGTGTTTGAAGCTGACTATGAACGAATGCCCTGGTACGGCCGAGAGTGGGGTGAGTCCGCTCTCCCTCTCGAAATACTCTCACACGGCCACGCGCATACAGCCTCTGCCAGGGAAGTCCTACTCATTGCCTTCTCGTGGCGGGGGTGTTGTTTATGAAAATGAGAGGACGAAAAGTGAATGTCCGGCGCTTTAACCGGATCACAAAACAATGGTGCACATGGGCTCCAGTATCCTGCGGGAACAAATGGCGTATGAACCAATCGTTGGTCACCGGCTACCATGGGACTGCATCTCCTGACGATGCTCTACTGTCTTGTGGGTCAGACCTCTAGGTCAAAGGCTCGGGGAGTGGCCCCCTAAGAAAACCACCTGCTTCGGTTCGGGCACCCGGGCAGTATCACAGCCCTCGCACATATCGAATAAGATTTGTGTGGCGCATATGTATTTGGTGCTTTCTTGTACCAACGAAGTGACCGCCACCAAAGAATTGATGTCAGCAAGTTGGTTGCAACTTCTGTTGCTAGTAAGTATCGATTCGAGCTAGCTTCTAGGCTGGCTACCATTCCACCGAAAAGTATATAGCGACTCACGTGTTAATGGGTTTATTTTCATTTAACCCAGTTAAGCCCTTTTTGTTAACTTATTTAGCGGACAAAGCCATCCGCGCTATAGCAATGTATTGTATCCTTATTATTATTTTGAGCTTGTATGAAATACGTATGCTTGAATATTGATTACTGCCTACGCATTTATTCACTCTGCTAATCTTACCACTAACCGCTTATTCGATTCGATTACTCATTCATTTCACATGGTATATATATGTCCATGTTATTCATATTGAACACACAATCGCTCACTCGCTCGCACGGTCTCGTCACGCTCTTGCTCTGGCTCTCGTTCGCTTGCTTGCCTTTCGGCACAACTCTCCTATGCTTGTTTAACACATCTGTACATTTGGATATATGTGTGTGGTTTCGCAATAAACGTAATCGACACTTCGTATTTGCCTTCTGATTAATATACCGTTGGTACGTTATATAGAACGGTTATCGCGACGAACAGTATACGAAGTTTAAGGATTATATCAAATACCGACCACCATAAGTATAGATGAGTATTGGTTGCAATTGCATGACGCCATGAAAATAGCGGGTACAGTCAGTTGTGGGTTCGCGAAACGTCCCACTTATAAGCACTGGGTTTCTTCAGGCTCCTTACAACTAATCGAGACCCGTCAGTCTACTCCGGGTGACCGTGAGTTTGACCACAAACGAAGGCTGTTACGTAATGAAATTGGACAAAGCTTGCGTAAGGACCGAGAAGCCTGGTGGTCGAAGCGTGCTAATGAGCTGGAAGCAGCAGCTGCATCTGGTAACTACCGGAAGCTCTTCCAGCTCATCCGAGCCACTGGCAGCAAGAATTCTGGTGTGAGCGAAATAATCTGTGAGGATGACGGTGTGCCAATCATTAACATCCATCGACGTTTTGGACGATGGGCAGAAATCTTCGAATGGCAGTTCAACTGGCCTGCTGCTCTGGAAACATCGGTCAGACTGTCCTGCCCTCCATGGCCGGTGACGACTAATACACCAAATGAGGAGGGATTTCGCAAGGAACTCCAACTCTCAAAGCACTACAAACCACCGGGCCCAGATGACTTACTTCCGGCTCTCTTTGAAGATGGTGGTGACTTTTTGACTAAGGAATTGACGACGTTGTTTACAAAGTTTTGGGAACTAGAGAGTGTACCAACGTCATGGGATGAGTCGATAGTTATTCCTATCTTTAAAAAGGGTTCACGTCGTTCCTGTAACAACTATCGGGGGATAAGTCTACTTCCGATTGCGTCCAAGCTATTGGCTTCCATCATACTTCGTAGGTTGTTCAAAACCCGAGAAAGATTGACTCGCGAGGAGCAGGCTGGGTTTCGTTCTGGTCGAGGATGAAACCTGGTCTCTCCGTGATGAGGATGTTAGACGACTCTGTGTTTGATCATCGCTGTCTCCGAAGGATTGCTGGCATTCAGTGGCAACACCATGTCAGTAATGCAGAGGTTCGGCATCGTGTGTTCGGGCACAGAGATGATAATTCAATTGGTGTCACCATCTTGAAACACCGACTTCGGTGGCTTGGACATGCTCTACGAATGTCGTCCCAGAGAATTCCACGTCGTGCATTATTTGCCGACTCTGGGACTGGTTGGAAGAAGCGGAGGGGTGGTCAGTGCATGACAGGGTGTCGTGGCATGAAAGAAAGCTGCAAAGGACTGGCTTGTGTTGGTCCTTCACGACTCCCTGGTTGGGGTCTGAGAGATGGTGCTACACAGTGGCTAGAGACGTTATCAGATATGGCTCAGAATAGAAGCCAGTGGCGATCCTGCTGTAACCTTCTTTTACTTTCTTCATAAAAAGTGGTTGTGTCTCCCTTACCTGAAAGATTTCTTCCGATTGTACCTTTGCGTTCCCTGATTACTAGCACATTACCTTACACCAATCTCTTCGTTATTGTTCTCTTTTTTTGTTGCGCTCCTTAGCTTTTTTTTCTTTCTTTGTATTCCTCTCGAATTTTCATTGTTTTGTGTGGCGTATATATATTGGCGCTCTCTTGTACCAATATTCATGTGTCCAAATCAAATAAAATAAATGAACGAGTTGACTACTATGCGGTACTGTGAGCACTATGAATTCACGTCCGAGTTGAAATTCACTGTTTTCTTCTCGTCACTTTGCTATCAACTTTTGAAAGAAGACCTAAAAAACTGTGCATTAACAATCATACCAAACAAGATTTTACAACAAGCTAATACCACCCACTGCTTCAAGGTAGCAGTTATAGTCAGGTAACCAGTATCTGGAGTCTGACCGTGTCAGCAAAAAGTTATCGGTAAACATAGATTTCCTTCAAAAAAGGGAACCAAATTATTTCCCATAGAATCAGGGAAACAGTAAACTTACCCAAAATACCTCTTGTGAAAGTGTGAAGTTATCTGGTCGACTGATAAACAGAACAGCTAAAAGTAGTTCAATTCGAAGAGATATATTATGTACGTCTGTATGACATATGGTCATCTTAGGAATAGATACGTGACAAACACGAAACTTGAAGATCAAAATAACTGCCATCATGTGTTTGAAAAAAATTAACAGAAACTCTAGACTTCGGTTCCGTACTTTTACAGTAAGAATACAACTGCGCTTGTAGGTACCAAACTGCTACTAGTACGATGCACAAGAATAGGGTCTAACACTAAGGCCTTAATTGATTGGAGAATGAGTGAACTGAAAATGAGTTTCCTCCAGTCGCTCATGTCATTTTATTCTCTGCTAATATTTAATATATAACCCTGCCATTTAATTACAAAAAAAAACTATTCTTCTGGTCAGTGGTCATGTCTTTAGACTTAAATCACTCGGCAGATTAAGGCAATTATTCATTTTCGTGAATAACCATCATTAGTCTACATTTTGTATCGTTGAGAATCAGATACTGATCAGAATTCTTTCGTCAACTCTGACAATCGAGAATTTGCCTTTTTAATAAAACCCTTCTCTGCAACAACTACAAATGTTGAACACGATTGTACGAACTTTTAGAAAATAAGAACTAAGTATTTCGTTTATAAATGACTTACTTTCGCTACGATCCATGATTCTATTCCCGTTTGATTCCTCGAAACAGCTTTCAACTGGAAAATTGCTAAAATCCCAACAGACAGTGCAACACCAACAGCTAAACCCAAAGCAAATAATGTTATCATTAGATCAGCTATGACGAACAAAACGCTTGATTGAAATCTTCGCAAAAGTAAACTAGGAAACTGAAATCAAACGAAAATGCTTACATTTTATGAAGACCAGCATTATTAACATAAATTTAGTACTCATGGATTTTCGTGCAAATCAAATCATACGTAAAAAAGGACTGTAATCACCCGTGGGCATGGACCTTTTTCTACCAAAATTGCTCACAGATCTTGAAAAATCATGAACACAACTTCGTGATTAGAAAAAAAACAATGTCACCACAAAATTTCACAAAAGTCACGAAATCTCGTAACACGATAGATCATTCTACCAATTAAGTTAGAAATACTGCTACTACGAAAAGTTCCACATCATATCTATATCCCCACAAGAGACTAATACACAACTTAGCGAGTGATTTATATACAGGAACATAAAACAATTGCCATATAGGTGTTCAGCCTTAGACTGTAGATGCAACACTAACTGTAGAAACCCGCTTTGATGATATATCTGGAATTCTAGTCTGATGGAAACAATGATTGCTTGAAACAATATCTCTTCAAGAACCATTTTTATCTAATCTAAACCCATTTTAAAAATAAGGAAAATTATTGTAGAAGTTATCAACCAACACCGTCATTTCAAACGTGAGTTGGGACACATAATACTCCCAATAGCCACCACTGGTATCACAATATGAAAGACGGATGCTTCACTTGGTATATTTGATTAAATTATGGTCAAAAATTCATCCGATATCGGTTGGCTTGACAGTAACTGTTTTAACTTGTAATTTAAGAAACTAGTTGAACATTTATGTAACCCAAACATCGGAAATTCGCAGTACATAATTTTGGTAACTGTAGTTTGCCTAGATAGACAGTTTTATCATGATATTACAGGCAATGTCATCAGTGCACCTTTCAAAGGTCAAGTTCTGGTAGAACATTCCACCTGGTAGCGTGTTACTGTCCACCAAGATAGTGAAAGCTTTGTGAATAAATCACGGATCCCAGGGAATGCGGCAATATTAAGATTTCTTGAATCATGAAACTAAAACTCACTTTCTAAAGTTGTATATGCTGATAAGCTTCAAGAACACCTGAACACAGAGACCTGTTAACAAAATTTTACAAATGTTGACGAGTCTATACAGTTAGATCTGAGCACCTGTTTCAGTCAGATTCTGGAAGCACAAATACCTATGAAAACTGGAGATCTAATTAAGGTTTCTTTTATAATCCATAAAGACCGTGAGTGCTAAAAACATCAATAAGCATTATTACTCGAGAGCTACTTATTTAGAAAATCTTAGTCGTTGAACAATTTTTTGCCAACAAAAATAAAAGTTGTAGTATCACAGATAACGAAACTGGATCGATGAAAATACCTTGTTGGAATTCCATTCATATTTTGGTTAAAGTTTGTTTAGTATTCAACCGAGTCATGCATGTGAAATCTACACCGATCATCTAAATGTGATGAATGTTATCAAGGCTATGAAAAATCTGGAAAAGGAATAGGTCAATAAAGACTGTTTTGACAAGCAATCGTCACGAATTATATGTAACCCTTTTAGAGTTGATTCAGTTGAAGAAAGATAGAAACACTCATTAGACCACAGAGAAATTATTTAAACTGCCGTAAACACTTTGGACTGTTGCCGGTCTCTTACGGTAATGAATTTACAAGCAGTGAAAACCTTAAAAGAGATGGAGTCATAGGTTAATTTCTCTAATCCGACGGGTAAATGGCACCGATTAAAACGAAATTAATGTCGTTTACAGGGTGTATCGATCTGTGACCAGAGAAATAATGAAATAGACCAAAACTTACGATTGCTGGACTTTGATATATAGAAAGCGATAGTGATATACAAGAGGTGACGCATCCGAATGGAGCAAACAACAAAAAGATCAAAAAGTATCTATGGTTAAGATGACCGCAACATGTATTTATCCAGGGACAATGATGGTCCATTTTCATTATGCACCGGTTGCAAGCTCGACAATGATGGGCTCGTGGAGGCTTAAAACCTCTACAAACATTACAGAACTGAAGCTTCTGTTCAGCTGAAGGGTCACACTAAAAAACGAAAATAAGCAAAAAAATAAGTTACAAGATGTGTAGAAACAATATACAAGAACCTAGAATGCTTACGAACTTCTGTCTCCCAGATCCAACAGTAACAATGATTGGGAAACCATGTCCTACCCCACAACTATGGTCGCAATAGTAAACCTGTTTATCCTAATATTTTTTTAATTTGATGTAGGCTCAAATTATCACAACTACAAACACAATGCAACAAAATCCATACTAAGTACAACAGTTATCAAGCCAACGGATTTACATTTATCTATCTTTTTATAGCATAAAGACTGGTGGGAACGAGGACTAAAATAAATATGCGCTAAACGATGAAATGAAATTGTGAAGAGATGGAGGACGGCTGTGAAGTACAATCAAAACAAATGAACAAGAATATTTCAAAACATGATACCTACTAAAAAAGATATAACTAGTAAAAATTCTTCCAGCCAAAGGAGTCCCCTATACTTTTATAAAGAACACGGAAGAAAATTATAGATGGATCATTTCTATCCTCAGTTATATCTGATAATGTCTCGAGCCAATGAACTGCACCATTTCTAGGACCACAACCGGGGAGTCATGACGGACCGAAAGATGTCCTCAACAGACGATTCCGGAAAACAGATCTGTCTAACAGATAGAAAACGGGCCTGATATCAAAAATTAGTGGTTGACCTGCAATAAGGCAGTTTCCTAGCATTTGGGGGAGTATAAATATATAAGTACTACAGCCAGGACAAAAGACAGTCTCCGCCTCGAGAGTCGGTTTTCCACGGACTTTGAACAATCTAAGAATTACTATAGACATCAATAGTTTAGACGCAATTGAAGTAAGATTTATCCACCTATAATTGTTGCATAGATTACGTAGTCTTTTTAAAGATGGGGACGACTGTCGTCTTAGCCCAGGATATTAGAACATTATATTTCCCAAACTCTAAAACGGAGGTCAGATAAGTTTTATTTGTCTTGTTTATCAAGAGTATAAAATAGAGGCTACTAAATGATAACTACATGTTATTATTCATGATTGTCTTGTTAAAACACTTGAGAATCTCACCATGATACTAATTTATCAAACAAAAGCAATTAAATGAGTATCTACTTGCCGCCTATTTGGTGGCACTTACATTCAACAAGAATGCACTGGAGGATCGTCTATTCATTCCAACTTCGTTCTATACATACGTCCGAGAAACTTTTAGAACTTGTTGTCTGGTATTCATATACAATAACAGTAAAGCTCTGATTTCCTCACACGTCCAGTGAGTAATGATGCCAGGATGCTGAGTAAAAACTTCAGGAACAAATTATATATCCAAGATACGATTACATGAACTTGATTCGTTGGTGATACAACAGCCAGTGATTGGGCCTAAAAGTCCGTTCTTCATTGACTGGGTCCACTATCCCCATTTTTATTCAACGTCATCACAGACACACGTTCTCGTTGACTGCATTTTTGGGAATTGATCTCCTATCAGGAGGTCAACTTATCGACCTAGAATACTCAAATGACATAGTCCTGTTTGGTTAAAACGCTGATCAAATGCAGTCTTTTGGTAGCACTGAGCAACTCTATACCAGAATGTTTGGAATGCGTTCCTCCCCCTCTAAATACAAGTTGTTGCTTCAGGACTGGCCTGCATCAACACCTGAACTAAGGATAGGGAGTGAAGTTGTCGTTTGGCTTTCGCCAACCTACGTCACCTATGGCGAAGGCGAGATATCCGTCTATTAATTAAGGGACCAGTATACTTCGCGGCAGTTTGTTCCGTTCTACTTTACGGCTGCAAAATGTGGCAATTAAGAGTAGAAGATCCTCGTAAGCTACTAGTATTTGACCACAGATGCCTTAGAAAAACTGCTCGTATATGCTAGGACCACTGGGTAAGTAATAGTGAAGTTAGACACCGGGTATCAGGGAATGGTGGTAAATCAGTTGATGAGGTTGTGGATCTTCACAGACTGAGATGGTTCGGCCACGTGTTACCTATGCCTGAACACCGTTTACCACGACGCGTAATGCTGACTAGTGTTGAAGACGGCTGGAAGAAAGTCAGGGGTGGCCAAACCGAAACTCGACATCAGTCCTTGAAGTCACTAACTTCTGGTCTAAGCCATGTTCGTAGATGCAGACTACTTGGTTGGGTTCGCGTGACTATCGTAACCAATGGTTGGAAACTGGGTGACAGCTCAGAATCTATCATAATGGCGTCGGTGTATACACTCTATGTCTTCCTTGTAACCTTGAAATTAAAACAACTTTATACCCTCATTTCTTCCTGTACAACATCCTTATGTGCAATCTCTCTTTTATGTATTACTACCATTAAAGTAACTACTTCTATGAGTTTGTTCACCTTATTGTGTTAATGAGGTATGACAACTTGCATATATGTGCATATATACATACATGTGCCAGGCTCTACGTTGTAACTGACTGACTGACTGCCCCCAAATGCCCTGGTACGGCCGAGAGTGGGGAGAGTCAACTCTCCCTCTCGAAATGCTTTTAGACCCTTAAGTCAAAGGCGCGGGATGTGGCCCCCTAAGTAAACCACCTGCCTGGGTTTGGGCGCTCGGGCAGTATCACAAATCGAATGGTTTATGTGGCGCATATCGATTAGGTGCTTTCTTGTACCTATGCTTATGTGTTTAAATAAATGATAAGATTGAATGGATAATGAGCGACGTATAAGCTAATTTTCTTTAGTTGCTTATGATATTTGATCATTCCTATTCTATATTTATATTTTGTATATAAGCACATCATTTTATGACAAGATTTTATCCATCTGACTAGTCGTCTTGTCTTTGATTTAGAATTGTTCGGTGGCTTAGGTCAATAATACGCTCTCATGAGTACCTATTAATCAGCCACACCATATCATTGTATTTACTTATCGATAATCATCCTAATCATTGATTTTACCGATTAGAAATCTCGTACAACCAAACTATCGGAAATCTCTAGAACTTTTATGTACCGTGATAAGTTTGAAAGTAGAAGACAGGAATATGAAATATAAGGAAGTGGAGTAGCTTTGTTGTGAATAAGATTATCTTGAGTCTTAATAGATGCATTAAGGTTGTCTTCCCTTCTCAGTTTCTTACACTGTGGAAGGATACTTTCTGTTGCACCTGAAAGTAGACTGAGTCCGGGACAGTTCTAACACCCAAACACTAGGGTGAGTTAGTAGCTATTGACTCTAAAACCGAATGTAAACGTCATGAAGTGTACCGATGAAGATCTATATCCCCCAACTTCATTTAATTAGAAAGGGATATTGACACCACTTGCACTACTGAGCTGTGTTAAGGTTGAGATCGACTGTTTAGACATATATTTATGCCCAACCACAGAAATAAGATCCATATTGAACGAAAACTTTAGTGGCTCATTTACTAGTATGAGTGACAGAATCACATAACTAAGTTGATCAGACAAGCTTTTGGAATATTTACACTGATTTACAAAATAAAAACAACTAGATTGACATATCAGCGTTTCAACTTCGAAGCCGGCAAGACTATTATCTACATTATTCGTGAGGCGTTTTCAAATCTTCTAATTGAAGTAAAAAGCAGACCTGATGTACACACTTTTCCTTTAGTCACTACATATATCATTGTCATAGATAATACATTTATATAAGGGGTGAAAATGAGTGAGAAATCAGTATCATTTGTCAAACAATGAGACTTTATGTCTGGCTGTCAGGTACATTTCAACCTTAAATCTCCACATTGTATGCATTACTAGTACTTCCATAGTGATTTTTACCTTCTTACAGCTCCAATGATAACTACAAGCGATTGGTTCCCTGTGGAAGCTGTCTTGACACCCGAGCTCCCAATTTCGGGGAAAATTTGACACATTTTGGGGAAGCCGCTATAGTAAACTTTGGGGGAATGGCACCAAAACCCCGAAGTTTGACTTTGGAGGTTTCCCCAAAATTTCCCCAAACTTGAGAGATTGGGACACCGCTTCCCAAAGTTTATTTTAGCGCTAAACAAAAGAAAACCGGTTAAAACGTCGACTTACCGGCCTCCAACCGAGAGGAACAAATCCTGGGCCAACAAATACAGTACAAAGATAAGACTTCAGAGTCATATAAAAGAAACTAAATATGCACGTAGAAAGAAACAGACCAAGAAGTGATGAACAGGGAGGGGCGACATGTAAGGTACTGTATAAACTCGTGAGCGTAATAAAAAATATGATCCAGATTGTAGAAATTGGACCCCAGTGAAATAAACGCTTCAGTTTGTCACGAAAGACAGAACAGACCGACTCATTCATCATGCTTAGTTGAAAATTGCGCCAGATCTATGTCTAGATTACGATTGGTTCATTTTTCAGATGTTTCAAATGTTTGTGGATAGAATAGAAGCTTTCCCTTTGCAAGCTTCCGTATCTAGTAGCAGCGAAACGCTGACCCCTTCATGTAGGAATCTTGGTATATTCGATGATTGACGCAGAAATATTATTAAATCATAGTGAAATGCTGTTGTAGCAGTAAATAAATCCCAAAAATCATTAGCTCTGTAAGTCTTCGACGTTTGATGCTGACCGCAACAAGTTTTCTGAACTCACCTCACTGAAAGTGCTGCAAGCGTTTTACGAACGGGAAGTTCAGTCCAAACGTAATTAACATCTCTCAAACTTTTGCTGCGTCCTTACGCAACAAAAGTACCATTTCTGATCTAAAGAATCTGTCCTGAGCTTTAAGTTCAGTAAATTACCTTCCTTTTTGGGTTTTACCCAACTTGATAGTTAACTGTAGCTTTGTCTCAGCTTACTATTCGGTTTTACAGTTTTTCATATCAAGGTTAGTTCCAGTTTATCCTAACCGTCTGTAACACCCGTTTTTATCCATTTCCATGAGTTTTTGGTGTACCGTTTTTTTTACGGTCGTAGACTTTCGCTAGGATCTACATAACAAGTTGCATCACTATAGTCATGAAGAATTCATGCAAGCGACCCGGTTGCTGTTTTGCTGTTACATCTGACATGCATTGTGACAATTGCAAAGCTTGGTTCCACGAAGCGTGCACAGACCTTACAATAACTGTTTACAACAGACTCAATAAGTCGGATCATAGGTAGGTATGTGTCATGTGCAACACGAATACTGAGGTTTTGCTGAGCAGCATCATCATTCACTTGATAAGTTTGCGGAATAAGTTGTCTGCAAACCTGAAAAAAGGCAGTCCTAAAACGGGTATACAAACAAAGACACGCAATAAAAACATGAAGAGCGATCTCAACAGCGCTACTATTTATCTTATAGAATAGGCAGCTACATCACGATAAATCTATAATTTTAAAATTAAGTCTATCACTAGAGTAGTACTAATATCGAAGTAGACCATAATTATACAAGTTAAACAAGAAGTCCGAACTTCTCAAAATAGTCTCTGACGGTCATATGGCTTACTCAGAGAAAGGACTCTAAGCATCAAAATCACTCCAGACTACTTAGTGTATCACTCAGTAACGCTACCGACGTAGAGTACATCCTAGATGCTAGTCACTTACCGAAATCAGATGGGAAGACAAGAATATTGCCTCATCCGGAACATCCCCGAAGAATCTCGTGAAAAGTCTTTCCGCAGAAAGAATATCACTGTGCAATGTGTACCAAAACACGGACCTAGACCACACTAATTTTAATATTCGGGAGTGGAAATACATCAAGCAGTTCTTGGAGCTCAAAAAACATATGGACTCAACAAGTGGTGAGACTAGTCAAGAAGGACGGAGATTCTAGACCTCGGCTGATGATGGTAACCTTCGCATCCTCCCATATGGCGGCAGCAACTCTAGAAACATCTATTATCCATAGATGCCGGTTGCCAACTGGAATCCATATGCATCCGCACAGGCCACACGACGCCAGGATCGGGCACAAAGGCAGGTTGGAGCTGACCATTCCAATTGTGAACTGTCTAGATCATAAATAAATGTAGAAAGGACAGTGATAACAACTCGAAAAACCTTGTTTAGGTAGGCTACCTGCGCATTCACATAAAGGTCATACAGACAAACAGAACGGGGAAGCTCATACGTTTCAAATTGAAGTCATAAACTGCTTATACATGAACTTCGCGAGTTTACCGAACAAAATGAATGAGCTACGTGAACTCAGCATTGCCAATAACGCTCATCTAACAAGAATAGGTGAAACTTGGATATCTTCTCAGTTTACGGACCACATGCTAGCAATACACATGATGTATTTGTTTCGCAATAACAGAAAAGCTGGAATCGGGTGTGGAGTAGCCATATAATTACGATCTTGCATGGAGGTAATATCAAGTGCACAACTAAGAGTTTATCAATCTCGGTGAATCGGTATGGTGCTCAGTAAGACTGTCTACCACCTCCAGATGTCTCGTTGGAGCCATCGACAGGAAACCCACTGCTGACATCGAGCACGACATTCGCATGCTAGAAGGACTACCCCAATCTACTCTCCTCAGATTTGTAGTGGCAATGGACAATAGCCACACAATCCACAAAGCTGAACACGAGACTACTCAGAAAATAGATATTCAATATTTAACGCGAAATACCTAACAATGGAGAAGGCGCGAAGAATGAATTGAATGAACTGGAGTTGATCGAGTGACATGGCTCGGCCATGCAGGCGTGGTCTCTGCCGAATGTTGCCTTATATCTTCTATTCATATTAAATATATTGTTCCTTCTCTAGCCTAACCTTGTTCTCCATCATGTATTGGTAATTGATACGATACAGTGAGTTGGTGTCGTCGATGGTGTGACTTCCACGTAAGATCTTATAGATTAGGCAGTTATATCATGACAAATCTACAAATTTAGGATTAGGTCTATCATTAGAGCAGTACTAATATCATAGTAGATCATAATTCTACATTGGTGAGCCCAACTAAAGAAACGCAACCTATTATTATTAATCCTTATTTCCACTTAAACTTTCTCGATCGATTTTATATTTATGTTAACACTGTATTCTAATAGTCCTCTGATTAATGCTCACATGCATTATCGTAATGTTATATTGATTAATCCTCATGACAAACTAGCTCAATCGATAATAAAAACTGGTCGTCTATATAAACTAATTAGCTTTGATGGTTTGTTAACAAGCTGTAATAGCATTTACATGCTTCAGCGACATAGTCTTGTTTAAACATCAAGCTCTAGCAAATATGACCTGTAAATAGCGTAAATATACATTGACTAACAATGCGATCAAGGACTAAATAGTTATCTGGATCTAATTCACAGTGTCCCTTCACCTAACACCTCATCCTGTTTTAAACTATGCACTATCCTGTAATATCTTTTCTTCCGACCACTGCCTGCCTAATTTCATATTCTCGAGTTCCATTGCCAAACAACAAGGATGACACTTCTCCAAAAACATACGGTGAGTTCCAGCTATAAGTTTTCTGCGATCATAAGGTCATTTTAGATGGCTCGTTCAATGGTGACCGCACAATTATCTGAATTCATTCGGTTGTTCTAATCCGAGCGAGTGGCAAAAACGTCAACAGCATCAAGCACCCTGGGATTAATTGCCATACTGCATGTCTTATTCTGGATACTTTTGGATCATTAATACTCCTCATGAATGGCGTTATATATGTCGTCCACTGAATAATCTAATTTTCAAAAATAACCCAGGCGAGTTCAAGTATTTTACTTAATGATTTTTTTACTTAACATGTATATGTTTTCCGGTTCCTTTTGCTATATATTTATAAGTGTCCCTAGGCTAAATGCAGTAACTCTTTATGGAATGTTTATAACGCATCATATTCCTGCCTGAAGTTTCACAAGCAGTCTAAACTTTAAAACTATTTTCTGGTCATGTTCATTATTTTTAAATCGTCATATACGTCAACAACCTGCATGTTAACCTGGCCCATACATACGTTACACTATATCTCCATGTCTTCTAAATTTAGAAATCATCTGAATCGCCTTTAACATTTATCAATAAACCCATCATAGTCGTTGTTGCTAATCGTATTTGGGTTTATGGATTGGTTTGTCATATTAGCAGCCTAAAATGCAGACATAGTTTAGATAATTAAATTACAAATTTAGGTACTATCAACGGCACTAATCAAATAACTAAATCCCCAGGTAGCTGTTGACTAAACAAACGTTTAAAATCAAAACTCCGTAGCCTACTAAAATTACCACTAAACGAATATTTCTGAATTGAAAATTATAATATAATCAGGCGTCTCGGATTCTGTAACACTACAAATTTCTGATAATTTTGAATCACCTAAAGCAACAATACCTATTTTTCCACTGGCTAATCCTTAATCAACACTATAACTAGTTTAACATAATAGTTTCAGGATATCGTCATAAAGCATTGTCATGACTTGACAATCACGTAATATGATTGATAATTTTAATGAAACTATTAACATAACCGGTCATCAAATCGACTTATAATTATCACTAGTGTTGTTTTTTTTCTTTTATCTTCATTCACTACAGATGATTACAGTATGTTTCTCTATCAGTTTCTCGTTCAGTAAATATCTCAAAACCTTGTCAGTCTAATTAATGGTTTAGCGACACAATCATGCATGCAAATAATCAGTATAAGCAGTCGAGCAAATCTCCTGCAAACTGAAAACATCAATGTCGAATTTACCCCAACACTGACTAAGGTTCAAGCCATTATCATAGACATGAGTTGGGAGTGTACTCCCCCTGGTTACAACTTATGTTCTCCCTGATAATCACATGAGCATCACTCACTATTAATCATCTTGTAAAAACTTATTTAGCTAAATACATCTTGCAATACCACATCACTTCGTAATATGACACAGGCCTAACTGATTTTAATAACTCATAACCACTATATCTCAATTAAATCGTATTTCGCCTTATGATAAACTGCATACTGGCAACTAACTTGTATGCCCAATCAGCCAGCAAGTATAAATATAAATAAATAGTCTGCCGCAGATCAGAACATTGAGTCCAGAGCATGTCTCTTACGAACACACTCATGTTTAACGATTTGTTCCTAGCTATCTGTCCAAAATTCATATAATTATCACTCATGTATTTAAATTTTATTTTGATAACCATTCATGTGTATTAGTAGTATTACTAAATTCTATCACGGTCAAGTAAAAATGAGGTTGAGGAAATCTCTTCGTAACTAAATAAACCGTATCAAACTAACTGGAACACTAGTTGGAATTCTTCTCCACGGTAATACTTTTGTTCCTTCAGTTAGCCTACTAATACAGATGCAATTGGAATTCAACTCTTATGGA